TAACGGTCGACCGTCCCGGTGACAGTCTTCTGTCCTTGGCTACGTTTTGATCCATTTTGCAACCTTAACACCTTGATTCTTTTTAGAACAATAATACAAACATTGATGAATATATTCCTAGTGATTCCTAGGCCAATATTTATAAGTTTTACGTAGTGAACGTTTTGATGGCTAACCTACGAACATGCATAGATTCTACATAGGTTGCGTACGATATTGCTATGAATATAACGACATAGATTATAACTAAATGTTCTAGAATTAGAGGGGACAACTACTCACCTCTAAATGATGGGGTTGATGAAACGGAAACGAGATGAACGTTTGACAATGAACGGACGAGTGTATGAACGAACGAACGAACGGCTTCTTGCGTGAACCTCTCCTCTTCTACCTCCTCGTATACTCGCCGGAATACCCCCTTGTCTACCTGCTGCTGGTTGGCCGAGAATGCAAGCGAAGGAGGATGAGGGTTGTGTGTGTGTGTGTGGGAGTTACAAATGTGGTGGAAAATGAAGAGGGGAAGGAGGAATATATTGAAAGGGAAATAAAGGGAGTTTAATGGGAAATAATTGAAATGAAATGATGGGGTTTAAGGGGGATGGAAGTGGCGTGGGAAATGAAGAGTTAAGTGGGGAATTAATTTCCTAAATTCTACTCCGTTATGTAAAATCTGACCTGAACGGAGCCGTTTCCCCCCCGAACGGGTCCGAATTGAAAACTGTTTACGTTTTTGGAATCAGACAGTCAAAACAAATTTAATGACGTGTTCAAATAATATTTCTAAGAACTTTTATTTTCCCCAACTCTGGACCGGAACAGTAATTAATTAATTAAAACAACCAATTTTAATAGACCGGGTTGTAGGGCGTTACAATTATCCACCCCTTAATAAAAAATTTCGTCCTCGAAATTTACCTAGTCATTGATCAGCATGATTACGTCATGTGCGAACTACTCAGTGCATCCGCGCTTTGCGTTTGTGCGAGCTGAAGCCTCTCCAGACTGAGCGCTCAGCGTCGGCCTATTGGGCTGGCTGGACACTGCTACCGATCTTTGGCTCTGAGTGGGCTGGGCGGCTGGGGCTGGAGCTTTGGGTGCTGTCGTAAACGCCTCGCCAGGGTTCGTCGGGCAGTCCCTACGGAAATGCCCGGCCTGACCACATCCTAGGCATAAGCCCTGAGTAAACCAACATTCTCCGGGGTGCCTTCGACCACAATGGGTGCAGATCGAGTAGCGGTACCCGCTCTGACTCGGGTCCTTCCCGCTCTCCTGTGTAGGCACTGGTGACGGGGCATGTGTTGACTTGGTCTTCTTGCTTGTGTGCGAGCTGCTTGGCACGGATGAAGACCTCTTGCTGCTAGAGCTAGGTGGAGGTGAACGAGGATGCGTCGTCTGGGCCTGCTCGTACTCGGCCTTCTTGATGAGGGTTGCATTCATGTCCAACGCATTCTTGAACAGTGCGTTGATGTCAACCCGAGGAGCAGTGATCAGATGGGCTGATATGTCGGGGCGTAGACCCTCCACAAAGCGCTTGCACCGCTTCTCCATGGTTGGGACGAGGTCTTGCCCAAACTCTGCGAGTTCGTCAAACTTCTGACGATACTCAGGTAGTGTGAGTTTGCCCTGGGTGAATTTCAAGAACTCCTCT